GCGTGCACTCGCTCTGGGGAATACTTACAGGGTCAGCCAGAATGACCACTTGCACCGTGGCTTTCCCTGGCGTGTCCAGACTCACCAAGGGAGTCAGGATCTTCTGGCTCTCCCTCTTCATCAAGGCTTCTAGGACTGGCAGCTGGAGGAAAACGGAGGCAGAGTGGGCGGGGAGCCCGGTGCGGTGTGGCCCTTACCAGGGCCACGAGCAAACACCAAGGTGTCACTTGTTTGATGTTATAATCTCAGCCACTCTCGGGACCACCGCGGAACTTGACACCAAGTCACGGCAGTTGAAATGAAACGGATGAAGAGAGGGCCAACTGAGCGGGCTGACCAAGCTCGCCACCCAACTCAGACCAAAGACGCGGAGGCGAACAGTACCTCGTGCTGGGGGCAAGAAAAGGCCATTCTTCCGAAAGCTGCTGCGTGCTCCACTGCCCCCTCGACGCCCTGCAGCTCCAGCTTGCACTGCCAAGACACAGGGGACAGGTGGGGTCTTCATGCAGATGTTATGACAGCTCATGTTTCCAGGTGGCTAAAGAAACCCAACCCCACTGCTGAGCAGTTGATTCTAACCCTGTGTCAGGATTCTGAGACTGTGCATCTTGACGGGAGCAGAAAACCTCCTCTTTGGAGCGGCTAGTGGGTTAGAACCACCGACCTCGTGGTTAGCAGCCCCACACCTCCCCGACAGCACCATCAGGACTCAGGACTCGTACGCGAGAAACCTTCACCTTACCCTCACCCCAGAGAAAACCAGTCCAGTTTGTAAATCCTTCCACACACATTCACGCGCTCACTCTCTTGCGTGCGCGGGCACAGCACCCTTTATTTACACACTGTCCCCTCGACTGTTACCCTAGGAGGTCACGTGGTTAACGCTGACCTCTATCTTTTTGCGGCAATCCTAGAATAAGCACCAAGTCCTCTCGTCCCACCCTCCGGAGGGCACTGGGTTGTTTCTAATGTTTTGGGATTGCAAACAGCACCGTGACAGTAACCTTGGCACCAGGGCTTGTGCAGCAGCGAAATGCAAGGACAACGAAACCAACCGGAACTCACTGCCCTCGAGTCCACTCCAAGTCCAGGAACCCCGGGGCGGGGCGGAGCAGAACTGCCCTCTCTGCTTCCCGAGGTGGTGCGTCTGCACAGAGCAGACAGCCTCATCTTTTGTTCCCCAAGGAGCAGCGGGTGGGTTTGAACTGCTGACTTGTGGTTCGCTGGCTCATGCCCAGCTTACCAGGCCAGCAGGGCTCCCTGTGTGGGCCCTGTAGGCGTATATCCATACAGTCACTTCCTATGAGCAGCGTTTCTGGGCCAAGATACCAGGAGTACATTTGCTCCTGTGCTCAGTTGTTTCTGAGAGAGATGAAAAGAAAGCATTCGATTTAACTCTCTATCTTCCAACTCAGCAACTCCACTTCCGAGCGGATCTAGTCCCCCAAATAAGCAATGAGTGGTGCGGTCATCAGTAATTTGTATTTTGTTCTTTCTGCCCATCTGTAAATGTTGAGCCACTGCAGAAAGCATGGGAACAGCCTTTACTTGACGCTCCTCTCACGTGCAAGGCAAACTCAACCCAACCCATGGCTGCTTCGTTGCCTCTGACTTACAGCGATCCTTGCTGGCGGCGGCGAACTGCACGGGTTTCCAAGGTTGTAAATCTTTATGGAAGCAGACTGCCACAGCTTTCCCCCATGGAGTGGCTGGTGGGTTTGAACTACTGACCTTTCAGTTAGCAGTCTAGTGCTTAACCACTGTTGCCAAGAGAGCTCCTTATCAAACTCAAAGCAATGGGTTATTCCTCGCAGAGATCACTCACTTGGTTGTCAGCATAGCCCAGCAAAGCTCTTTGCTTCTGTTCATCTTTTTCATAAATTTTCATTCCCAGCAGATAAGACCAGTAGTTCAAGGACTTTTGAAGATCAGACACTGCTAGCGTTACTTTTATAACTGGATCTGCCGGGTAATAAGACAGCAGGAGTAGACCAGACAGTTAGTTCGGTGGGAAAG